CCCCCCCCCCCCCCCCCCCCCCCGAGAACTTTCTGTGCAAGCTTATCAGAACTGTCCGCTGAAACAACATCTTCAGAAACTGTGGCTGATCTGAAAAAACGCTCATGGACAAATCTCAACACCTTGATGTCAAATGCAAATGTAATCATGTTTTAATTGTGCTGCTGGTAGAGTTTTTTTATGTCTCAAATCATGTCCTGATAGACAAGATGTGAAAGATCTTTTTTTGTAATACCACTATCTACCCTCATGTTTCTACCCCTTTTCCTATCTAAGATTATTATCTGATAAGGATAAGAAGGCCACGCTTTCTATAGTTGCAGCTTCGTGCACTCCGCCCATCTTTAGGACGACTGTACGTACATATTCGCAAAGAAAAAACTCTGCTTCTGTCAATACTAATCAGGTCTTCACCAAACGTGACTGTTGAAACAATGAACAGGGAGGGTGTTTCTTTGTTTAATTTATACTTTGTATTTTTGTAACACACTTGATAACTTTAAGGTGAATATTTGAGGATAGAAAATGTGAATGCATGTTAAGAAGACTGTTTCAAGACTTCAGTTGTTAAAACAGGTTTAAAAGCAGCTGTTTACTTAAGATTCTTGGAGATGGACAAAGCTCAAAAATTTCCAGCCAATATATCAGTTATCAGTGATAGCCAAAGTTTACATATTGGTCAAGCTCTAGTTCCAACAGGTTCTAACAGGTTCTAACAGTGTTTGTTACCCTGACTGTGTTACCATCAGGGTGGTCTGCCTTCCTGGCTTCTCAGTAAGAAAGACATGGTGCTGCGGTCGTCAGACCCAGGTAAGCAGCAGAGACAGGTGAGACTGAGCTGCGTGTCGTACTGCAGGAAACACACAGAGCTGTGATGTGTGTGTTTGTGTGTGTGTTTCAGATTACATCACGGCTGTGGATAAATGGATGGGGAAGTTACTGCCAATGATTAAACCTTACCTGTATCAGAACGGAGGTCCAATCATCACCGTCCAGGTGAGTGTGGAGCTCTGGGCTCACCCTCCTGACTGTCTCATCTGTTGTTTGGCTTCTTCGTTAGCGAAATATCTTCTGAACCAGTAGACAGTTTTGTTAAAAGTAAGAATCTTTGGATGAACACCTGCAACTGATTACCTTTTGGAGTCAGATCCATTCAAGATGGCTGCCGCAACTAACTGAGCCTAGCCAACACAAAAGTGTCTGTAAGTCAGTCAGTTTTATAGATGTTGTGGTGTGGTAGTAGCTGAGAGTCCTTCCTAACACGTCACAAACGGCGGTGGGCGACATGCATTCCTTCGGGGGGTTCTGGTCATGTGACTCGTATTTTGACTTTTCAGGTGGAGAACGAGTACGGCAGCTACTTTGCCTGTGACTTTAACTACATGCGTCACCTGAGCGACGTGTTCAGGTCTCACCTGGGGGAGGAGGTGGTTCTGTTCACTACAGATGGCGCGGGGCTGAACTACCTGAAGTGTGGCTCGTTACAGGGCCTCTACGCCACCGTGGACTTCGGGCCAGGTGAGTGTGAATCATTTGTCTTTAAAATGAACGACGCGTCAAACAGGAGGTGCTGTGGACTGAACCAGAACATCGTAGATGATTGTGTGAATGTGGACAAACCAGTTGGACTTTTAGACATTGGCGTCCTGCTTTGTCTCTGAGTCAGATGACTCATTCATTCAACCTTTATTTATACAGGTTAGTCGCACTGAGTCACAAGGACTCATTTACAAGAGAGACCTGTTTTAAACAAGGAACACAGCTGAGGCACAGACAACTAGAGACAATCATATAAAATCATATAAAATGAAAAGTAAATAAAAGAAATGAAATAAAAACTAAACAAAAACAGCTACATTATAAAACGGTGTAAGATACTAAAAACAGGAACATGTCTATGTTGGTTTTTGCCATGAACTTAACAGATGTTTAAAGTCCTTTAGAGAGGTCAAGGTCGAGAGCTTCAGGTCTTTTTGTAAGATATTCCAGGAAACAGGAGCAAAGTAGGAGAAGGTCCTTTTGCCTAGTTCAGTCCTCACTGAGGGAACACTGCAGGTAATAATGTCCTGAGAGCGCACGCTGTAGCTGCACTCACGCAGAGACATGTAGGAGGAGATGTATGAAGGCAGCAGACCAAGAAGTGATTTAAAGATGAAAATGTACCAGTGAGAGAGTCTGCATGAAGTTAATGATGTCCAGTTAACCAGTGAATACAGGGTGCAGTGGTGGGTACGATAATCACAGCCAGTTATGAATCTTAGTGCACCATG